AGACCCACATCCACGAGCACAACCTAGCGGCTTGGAGTCTAGACTCAAATTCTCAACTTGCAGCAAAGACTGGCCATTATTTCGACCTTCAAAAAGCGACCGTCGTAGACCGAAAAACCTCAAAAACCGAAAGGCTGACGCCTGACGCATTGTACTCAGATGCCAACTCTGTCAACAGGCATCTAGACCTGCCCACAGCCTACAAAGTCTTGCGCTATTATGTGGAAAAAAAACAAACAAAAAACAAACAAACGTGACAATGTCAAGTGAAGAGGACCCCACAACGAACGACCCGGAAGAGGAGGCAGGGTTACCAGGACCCTCCATCGGGTGACAAGGCGCCATACTAATTGCTCTTCATGACCCCCGAATCCACTGACAGCTAATTGCCCTCCACCCACATCGTTTTGGATTGCTGTTTTTAACCCCTTGACAACCTGACGATTTACAAGTTGATGGGCCTATGGCCACTATAATAACCCTCTTTTTGGTTGCTGCTTCTCATATCCAAAGATGGACTCCTGTAAGATTTCGAAGGCTCAGGACAATAAATCCATTGATACGGTGGACTGCCATCAGCCTATTAGAAAATCTGCTATGCAATTTAGTAAATATCGCCTTATCCCAGATTCTTGGATCTTGTAGATGAACGGTTGGCGTGAGGGTATCAAAGGTCTTACTGAAGTTGATGTAGGCAACATTCGCGTTGTCATCCTCATCTAATAATCTGGATAACTGCTCCTTTGAATAAACCATGTTTGTCAGACAGGAGTGATTCCCTCAAACTATGTGTTTGGCACTGGCAACGAGGTCCTTTTCTTCGAGTAAGTTCATGGTAGACTTTATGATTAAATTTTCACGGCTGTGTAAAAACGCATGTTAGCCTCACCGGTTGATATATGTTTACATTGGTTCTGGATCCACCCTTGTAAATGGGTTATATGTAGAAGCCTGCATTCAATACAGGCTGCGCTTACTCATCGTGCATCCGCTTGGCATGTTAGCAATTGCGTCAGCTATATGCACGCGAAGGTGTTCATAAAACCCTCCCTGCAGGAGTTTCTTGTATTCTCTTCTTGTCTCTCTCTCACATGAACCGAGAGCTCGTAAGCTTGACGCAAATGACTGGGTCTCTATTTGTGATTGGCTGAGGCAAAAAAATGACTGGACAGCCCTGAATCTAAAGCCCCGCGCGCGGGCGTACACAAACACTATTTCACGGAATCCAGTTGCCTTTGTACGCACCGCCTGTGATCAATGTGTAACGCCTACTGTAAGGCTCATTTAGCGCAGTAAAGATCTTGCTACCAACACGGTCTTCCCTGACTTGTGATTTGGGAGAACCTTCTGCTTGTCGACAATACCACTTGCGAAATATATGCCCTGTACATTCCAGGCATATGGAAGGCTAAATTTATCCGAGTTGTGTATTTTCTAGCTTCTTCTGCGTGTATGACTTTTGGCTCACATTTCAAAACTCAAATAAGGCCGAAATCTCATTGTGAAAGATGAACATCAACAAAAAGAATCGAGGAAGAATAGACGTTTAAACCACTGCATTTTTTGACTGATGCGTTACGTATTTCCAACTTGTTGGCGCGGCATACTATGAAAAGAGGTCTATGGGCTATTAATTTCTCGCACGGTAAAGTAAACATTAAAATCGCGATTTTGGCAAGTTTTGTAAACTTTCGAGGAAACTACTCAATGCATATCTGCAAAACTTGAAAGAACTTAATTCCCTCTGTGTTCCGGCTATTTTCGGTATACGTTCCAGATTGCAGGCTCTGTTATAGCAAGATGAATACGAGGAAGAGCTGCCGTTTAACTACTAGTTACTGTCAAAATTGTGAGTGCCTTGGGAACTATACTTCTAATTTCAGTATAAATAGTAATCTGGTAATTACTAATTGTACTCAAAAGTATCTTCGCATATGCTAAAAACCTTCATTGGCCATGAGA